GGACACCGAGCGTTCTGTCTTCAAGCCACCACAGGGGCTGTTCGCTAACTTTGTGAGTAACTGATATTCCATTAGTTCTGTCTCACACTGTAGGATCAAGACAGTTTCTAGGTGCGCTTCTGTTGGGAGTAGACTGCAGACCTTTAGGACAGAGTGTGCGTAGTGGCCTAAAAACTTGAGACAGCACCTTCTTGCAATAAGTACTAACCCTGCCAACACGTGGCCCAATCTTACAATTGGGCCGCGGTTGGGATAGGTGTGGCCCTGGCCCAACCTCATTCCGGATTAGTGCAGAAACAACTCCTTCTTTCAAATTTTGCATATAACCGCTAAGATAAACTTTATTAAGACCAAACTACATAAAATCAAGCATATAAAGTAGGCCTCATCGTCTAAACGACCCGTCATGATGGCATGTCTGTACCCGCACCGGTTATCGGTTGTCGTCCATCTTAACTTCATCCTAGCTCTACCCGCACAGTGGCACGTAATCTAGTACTGTCTGTGCTAATTACAGGAAGTGGGAAAGCCATACAAGGCGAGCTCCTTCGGGCAGTTTTTGAGAGATTAGACCAATTGGGTCACATCCGCCCTTGTCACGCCGTGGCCCAACCATGTAGCCCAATCCAGCTCAACCGTAGCCCAACCCAGCCCACCTGGACCGGGTTGGGCTGGTGCTTAGACTAAGTGCTTAGTTTTTGTAAATCACGATTTTAGAGCAAAACTATGATAATGTTGCCATATTTATTTTACCCTTAATTAGTCCCCACCCGTCCTCTCATCAAAAAACTCCTTCGTTTACATCTGCGTTCCAAATTCCTTCTTGGCAAATGACTGTAACCAATTAATTGGGCCAATTGGGCCACATCCACCCTTGCCACACCGTGGCCCAACCTAGCCCAATTGGGCCGGACCAGGCTGGGCTGGTAGGGGTTGCGCAACCGCGATTTGAACCCGATACCTGCGGACACAGAGGTCAGGATGTTAGTCGCTGCACTACGGATGAACGGTTTGCCGCTAGTCAGATTGATTTGTTAACTACAGAAGGGCAGCTGAGAACGGTCTTCAATTCATTAGTGGTCTCTTGCGAAAAAATGACGCCGGGATCATTAGACTTCAGGGGGCTTAAGCACACTGCCAGCAGACAGACGGGACGGATTCTGCGCTTGCCGGTCGCTGTGTTGTCTGTGAGGAACTTAAAAAAACTAGTCAAGACGCTAGAAGATAAGCAGGGCCTACTGACGGACATCTTTATGGCTATTCTGAAGCACAGTAAAGTAGAATTACTAAATAATCCACCAAATTTCCGACCGACACCGCAGATCCACCAACCCATCAACAGCGTAGAAACTTGAGACAGGAACCTACTTGCAACAAGTACTAATCATTCTCTGATGCTGTGCAGTCGGTGGACAGTCTCTGGTAGCCCAGTGAGTAGAGCAGTCGACGCAAAATTGAGACCTGCGGTTCAAAGCGTATGGATTATAGTTGAATGATTCACCACGGAAATGGTTGCTTTAGCGAGGGAGAGACTTCAATTGTCATGCAGACGCACATGCGGCGACTGACGGTGCGGAATCAGGCTAGAGAGGGAGTTGAGGGCCACCATCGACGCTCGCAAATGTTACTGTACTGTTGGTGTTTGAGGCATGGCTGACCCTATTGTCTGTGTATGTGACCGGAAAGCTTCCCTGTGCTTGCTGAGTGTGTAGAAATGGTGTAGAGCTGAGTGATGCAGTGTAAGTCCATATGACCGAATTGGTGACGGAGCATGCCAATTTAGTCCAATCAGTTCTCCAGTCTGCCTGCACTGAATACAGTATCCTTTCAACTGGCGCCCAACACCTCTTTCGCGACGGGGTCTGAAGGTCGCAGTGTCTAGGGTTTGCCCGTGGCTTAAGCAGCCGCGACAAGTGTACGCTTACGCAAGTCTGGCCTGTGTTATCGTTTCGGCTGGCGTTATCGGCCCTTGGCACTACTGTGTTGTTGGTCAAAGACTGGCACCAAATCAAAAAAATTAAACAAACTGGTGACAGGCGGACATACTCGTTGTTTGAAAACCAATCTAGACTAGCAGTAAATAGATTCATGTCGTAGGGCAGAGTTTACGCCAAGACCTCGGTTTAATTTAGCGCCTTGAGTACGATATATATTTCGTTCACAGAAGTTTGGAGCACGTAGCTTACACCGTGCATGCCGACTTGTAATCTTTCGCTCTTCTTCAATTCCATCTCATTTCGAGGAAAGAGGCATGTATTTGAGCCCTCTATGTCGTCTACTTCGAGGAAGCCTAATGTTTTTAGCAGAACAGACTCACCCCAACAAGAAAAGGGATGCCCCGGGGCGGATTTAAGCTGGCGCCCTCCAAATTCACGTTATGTATCCTATCTTCTGGGCTACCAGGGTCTTGGCTGTTAACCGTGAGAACAACCAATAATCAGTCAAAATTTCCCTTTGTCTGCTAAGGTTGGCCCGTTTCTCACTCTGGCGCTCATGAAAGGTTAGGAGGCACAAGTCGATGCAGACATGGGTAGTCGGCAGTCCTACTCCGACCTAGCACGCATTGATGCTGCTCGAGTTTCATATTTTCATCGTCTGTTATAAAAACTGCCGTCATTACCTTGACAAATACCCGCGGTAACTGTCCGCGCTGTAAGCCGGTGGGAAGTGTGTATACACTACCAGATTTAAAGGAAGACGAAGGCACGATCAGTGGGATGGTAGATTTATTGGCCTTAGCTTTCGAACTCGAACAGGAGTCCATCATCAGAGACTACTAGAGTGCAGCAGCGTGTAAAAGTTCATATCATTGGGCTGCGAGTGGGGAGGGGGGGGGGACAACGTCCGTGGTTAGATCTGGTTTGTGCTGCCTGGCCCACAATGGTCCTCCGGCGTGGTGACGTCGTCTGTACTTCGCAGCGATGTGAGCTGCGCCCCCTGGCTTCGTGGGCGGAGTGCGTGATAACACGCAGTCAAATCAATGTGTCTATTGATAGAGTTGGCGTCCGACCCTCACGCCTCCAAAAGTTCTCGCCCCGTCTTGTTGCCGACTCACGCCAATATCCGCGTGTTAGTGAAGTCGAATTCATGGCCTTCCTCCAGTGCGTGAGTGACGACTTGAGATAGTGGCTCGCCTCTCCGAATGGCCCGTTTGTGCTTAAGTATTCGTGAGCTGAGAAGTCGTATTGTTTGGCCTGTGTAATGACAAGGACAGTTATGGCACGGAATTTGATAGACTACGCCTGACTGCTCACCTGCGTCCAGCCGATCTTTCATTTTCATGATCCTGCTACGCATGGTAGCCGCCGGTTAATGAACGATACCCACGCCGCGAAGCTTTCTGTAGCCTCGGATACATTCTTTATGTACGGTAAGGAGTGCCAAATTGTTGGTCTCTCTCCCGTTTGTCCGTCGTGGGTGCTTGCGTATGCAGCGGTTGATGAAACTATTTGGACAGCTTTTCTTTGTCAACTGGTGCCTGAGATGCCGTAGTTCTTGCATCCTTCCTTCGGGCTCGCTACAGTGCGTTTTTATCCGGTCGAAAAGCGCCCTTACGCAGCCCCGTTTATGCACCAATGGGTGGTTGCTATGATAGTTGGGGACCTGGGTTGTATTGGTCGCCTTTCTGTACACTGTAGTGTTGAGTTTACTATCAGGTGTGCGCGTGACGAGCACGTCAAGGAAGGGTAGTTTCTCGGCCTCCTCTTCTCTTGTAAACTGAATGTCGGGGAGGGTGCTGTTGAGCAGGTCTTGAAAAACCCGATGGCTTGTCCTCAATAACGACGAATGTATCGTCCACGTGTCAGCGTCAAAACAAAGGCTTATAGTGGCTGAGAGTAACCTTTTCCAGATCTTGTAGGACCAATTCCGTAACTAGGCTGGATATTGGGGAACCCGTGGATGTTCCTTTGATTTGTTCGTATGTTCTGCCATGATCGTGCCTTCGTCTTTTTTTAAACAAGAACCTGAGATGCGCATATTCCCTTCCACTACCAGATTTGTCGGAAAACCCTTCATCAGATGGAGGTGCTGTCAACAGCCTACGCCACCAGAACCGTCCCTTTGAGCTGTGCCATACACGAAGTCAACGATACGCCACCAGATTTTAAACTTGTACGTGTCAGACCTGCTAGCCTTTGATTTGCGGTTAACCAGTCGAAGGTTCTAGTGTGCTGTAAGTGGTGGCTAGCGTCCTCGGTTCACAAGCTATGCTGAGGGAACTAGGTTCTCCCCTTCGACTTTTAAACTACAGTATCTACCAGAAAGCACACGGTGAACGCTCCGGGGGAGGGTGGGTACTGATGGGCCGAGCCTCTCGCACTCGAGTAGTGCAGCGACAAAATATCAGCGAAGCACGTGTCTGCGTTCTTTGCTAGTACCTGTGCCTTCAATTAGGGTAACATCATACAGCATATGAACATTACTGAATGCCTGTTGAAAGTTTTTGAATGTAACACGGTTAACCCCTGGAGCTAAGGGATTTCGGCACAAATATTCACATCAACTTTCGGACTGAGCCTATGAAGCTTCATTCCGACCGACCTACTCCAAGTTAGCACAGTAATTTCAGACTAAAAGACCCAGACATGCCATTTCCTTCGAAGCAAAGTTGCATCAATTCAAGTACCAAATGCGCTTACACGACTGGTGAACTGTCACTGAGAAACTTAGCGCCTGACAAACGCGACTTACAGGACGTTAGGGGAACGGTGCGACCGAAATCAAGCTCGGTGGCTGGTGATGATCCCTACACTAGGACGCTTTGTGTCGCGAATGGGCGGACTGCAAAAGCGACTGCTCAAGAAATAGAAAGGCGTGAACGTTTTTAGAATGCACGTAAACACTAAAGAACTAAAGCAACAATAAAAGTGAACGGCATGACTAGTAAATACATTATGGGGCCAAAGTATGTGGGGGTATGTATATGTACACTGAAAAGGGATTCGGAGATAACACACTGCAGTTCGGCATGTCAGTTCCTGACTTTGAAAATCTGCGAGTCAACTCTTGAAGTCGGTCCCAAGGTTGAGGAGGGTGTCTTCGGATATGTAAGGCTTTATGTCCATGCCTTCGGCTGCGTTCATAAATTCCGCATGGCGGGACTCAAGATCGTCTCCATCCATATTTTGGAGCAAATCATCTTCATGAATGCCGGGTGCTTCGTAGTTTAGGTGGTCCTGGTCATCCAGAGGAATCTCGACGCCCTCCTCGATGACAAGTTCGGAACTGGATGATCGATCCGGCAGGCCATCAGCTAAGTTTAAAGTATCCGCAGTGTGAATTCCTCCGTCCATATCCTCCATCTTAGCAATAGAGTCGGCCGACGCAGAGGATCCGATGCGGACATACGATGGGTCATAAGGATTCTTGTCAAATGCTGTAGATTCGTTCCGATAGGAAACATGCATGTCACAATCCAGGGGACGACCACCGTTGACCTCAGCGTCTTGAGGGGGCTGGTGTAGAGGTATGCCGTTTGAGAGACCTTCCTCTAGCTTCGGAAATTCCGCAGAAGCCTAACATGACAGCGACAAGAAAATGCAGGTGGAGCAGGTGAGGTAAGACAATGATTAAAGAGCTTTTGTGAGGAAGACGGACCTCTGAATGAAGTCTGATATGCTGTCAAAACAGCCATTTCTAAAAAGTAAACGACGAGCGCAGGTTTGAAGGGCTGAAGCGCTAGAGGCAACCTCGACCAAAGAATTTGGTCAGCCGATGGGAGACCCACCTGTACCAGAACTACGAAAACGGCTTAAGGTACTTAAGGTTGGCTAGACCATGCATGACCAAAGCCCTACGGCGGGTGACCAAACTGACTAAACATGATCGAAATCCAGAAGACCCGCCGACAATTGCGAAGTTTACTTACTGCCCTGGAGTTAAGGAAAGGGCTTTTCATAGTGCGGAATCCGTGTCTAAGGTAACGTGGGCGGAGATCGATGTGTTTATATTTAGGCGATTTCCATAGCTAATAGCCACTGCAGACCACATGCGTGCTTGTGTGTTTTTAAAAAAGGACGTTCTCATCTACGTGAGGTTTAGCAAAACAATCTTTGATATTTTGAAGCTTGATCGTTAAGTCCACGTAATTCAGGCGAGGCAATACGTTAGGTGGCCAAGTTATTTCGAAAAAATATAGGCTCTTTTCTAAAAATTAGGAGTCGTAAGTCTGTACTAGATTGTGACCTAAAACAGCCGTGATGCCGACCGATAACCTTATGCTGCCAGGCGTATACAAGCATTTGAAGAGTAATCGCCGAATAGCCAACCGTCTCGGCTAATTGAATTTTCGAGTATATGGTAAGATGATGCTTGCGCGGTTGAATTTCGGTGCATACATTATCTAGCAACTGATTAGATGTCGTATTAATCGTTAGAGGCATTTTCAAGTTCATATGAAGACTCGGCGGCACAATTAATAGGGACTAGAAGAAAACAAATATAACGGGAACGGTTCCAAAATGAAGAGCAAAAGGAGCCTTTCCAAGGAAAATAAAAACTGCTAGTTGCGGTCAGAGCAGGATATGAACGGACGAGACAATGTAAGTCCTTGACTTTGTAAAAAGGTGAAGGATTTGGGCATTCGCCTGACGAGTCGAACAAAGTAGACTTAAAAAGTAAGATCAAGGACATATTCATAGTAGGCCTTGGCTGTAGATGTCAACTTCCCTTAGCCACTAGGTTTGGCGTTTTGCTGAGCCTACAAATGACGCAAACTGCCGTCTGTAGAAAAAGACAACGTTCAGGAATTCATTGCATATGAAAAAAGTTTAAAGGAAGTGACTTATTGCAAGTTTTGACGACCACAAACGGCAGTTATATTTTCAAACAATCGACTTAGGACACCGAAAGGTATTCGCTGACATTTCTGAGACGCATCGAAATTCGACTAACTCCACTGCTGCCAAAACAGTGATTTTACGGAAGGAAAACTTCCTTATACACAGAAAGTGATACGCTTATGATTGCATTTGACAATCAACTTCTGATTTATTAGTCACAGACCTGTATTGCTACGTCCCCATAATATCCTCCTCACTCTATTCAACCAAATCTTAGACAAAGCACACTGAAGGCTCCGACGCAGATTCCTACACAATTTTTTGAGACTGCTACGCATCAAACTGCTGACATTACACTAACCCTTGGGGGATATTTAGACTGAGGACAATCCAAAATATCTTTCAATGCTGATGTGTTTGTGTTGCTTAATTTATTTAGCAGTCATCATGGCCATGTATTTGACGTCGATCTTTGCATTTTCGATACTTCCGCTTTTCTTTAGAAGTGGTACTCTTTAAATAACGTAATATCAATTTCAATATCCCTGCTTTTTCATTTAACCGAGGGTCGCTGATTTTTAAGTGAGCGTTATAGTCGACGCACATGGGCCGGTTTAAGTAGGTTTTTTCGGGAATCAGCGCATATTGCACGAGTTAGGTCACCGACTGTATGCAACTGTCCCAAGCTGGTATAGGCTCTGCCGGGGTGTTTTGAGAAATGACAAAATAGGACTCCTGGTTCGTGCCGCGCCGTTAATTGACGATCCCGGCTTGCCTCTGTCGAGAGCAAAATTAGAAGAAACGGGCTACAAGAAAACTGTGGGAGCTTTGACGAATTTGGGCAAGCCTAAGCAATCATTTCGGTAGTATCACGCAACTTAGACTGTCGAGCACTAACGGCTATATAAATACGGCCAGTGCTAAATGCGCACAGAAAATTGCGCTCCTCAGTGAGTCATACAAAGCAATGGACCGATAGGGACTCTTTGGCATTATGAAACTGGAAAGAGCAAGGGTTAGCCTGGCAGGTGACATAAAAGAGCTACCTAGACGTCCATTCAACACAGTCAACAGGGATTGTGACTATTCTTACCAAACGGCTTAACGTGCTAAAATGTTAGTGAATTTGTTGGCAAGGTACAGTAACATGAATCGGTTGAAGTGAAAATTACCTTTTGTGCTTGGAACCAGGCACGACAGCTGGCGATGCGGCACCAAACAAGTAGACTATCGGTGGATACGCCCGGTCTCAGCTGTTGTCCGAAAGAGAGAACAATCTCAAACTGTGGCCTGGGCCCTTGTCGTCGACGGTGATACTCCAAATCCGCCATAAACTGGGAGTAGTCAAACACTTTTGTACACTCTTTCCTGCTAAGGTTTTTCAGGAAAACATAGTCACCCCCGCTAGGTGCATAGACAAAGACGGCGCATTTGCAGAGCCTCTCAACGTAAATGCTTCCACGCGAAGAAGTGACAATGACACCTCGGTACATATTGTCGAGTAGGAGATTGACATAAGAACGATTAGCGTCAGACACGTGACGAATAATTTGGGCTTCAATAGCATCGGGAACAGCTGAAGAACTTGCCTGGAAAGGAGAATCGAGTAAGGTAGTAAGGCCTACCTCATCGTATCGTCCAAAGTAAATGCAGCAGCCATTAGGGTTGGTTACTATGGAATCTTTGACCCGGATATTTAAATGTTGAATCCGTACGCCTAACTGGTGGAATTCCGGTTCCATTACGTCAGGAAGGAGGGGCAGAAATGACTGAGAATTTCCATTCGTCAGATCATAACCAGGGCTCTGATACGCGGTGCCATGCATAGGAGCAACCTTTCGCAATATCGAGGGTGGGAGAGGAATCGGTTGGACCCCACGGTTGGCGTACGGTTGCCAGCTTGGTCTGTTGAAGGCGGCAGACTCCTCGGAGAAACCAGTTATTTCTTGGACCGCACCGACATCCAAGGAGTCAGCAGTCTCTGAGATACTAAACGCTGGCGACTGTTCAACTGGTGCTGGCTGGGCTTGCGCGCGCAAACTTAGCTTTTTGAGGAATAACTGGTCATGAGCTCGCCGCAGCTAGGAGTCGAGATGGTGATTAAAAATAAATAGGAGGCTTACCACTGCGATTGGTCTGCAGCCGCTTGCAGGTCTAACCAGTCTTCTAATAAAAAAGGCGGGCCTCTTTCCTCCCAGAAGAGTGGTTGGTTGCATGCTGCGACGGACGACGGAGGAAAGGTGAAGAGGAGGTGGATTTGCCATAGCCGGGATGCCATCGAAAATCATGCTAGCATTCCTAGACGCGTTCGCTCGCCAGAGAGATTCCGTCTTGCTGATGAAGCGGTAAACCTTAAAGGGTTCATCGCAATGCAGGTTGTGTCGTTGTTTGACCTCTTGGATGTCAGGGGCCTTGTTTAAGGCACATCGCAAACGCGTCTTCCACATCGGCCAATCAGGATCATCAATGCCTTCGCGATAGCGGCCAGTGACAACGGCCCAATCTTTGAAAATGGTGGCGTCTTGTTCCGTCCATGTATGTTTACTATGGTGTTTCCAGGGGATGCGAAAAATTCCCTTTTCATGATCAATCCAGTTTAACCCCTCGATCCAACCTTCGTTTAAGCGACTTTCTAGCCATGGACGAAGGCGGACACGAATGTCCATCTGTAGGCACGAAGAAAAGGAGTTTTCTAGAAAAAATACGCTCTTGACATTTTAAAACAAGAGCGTGCAAGAACACAAACTTTCGAGTACTAAGTCGTATGACTAGAAAATGTACGCCAGAAGATACATAAAAGTTACTCATGAGTATACTCGTAGAGAAGCCTATGGGCGTTTGGTCCCAGGAAAGTACCTAAAACTACAATTTGTGAGCTGGGAAGACCAGAGGGACGGAAATGCGAAGGTACAATGCCCACGGCAGTTCGAAATGCAAAGAATCAACTTGCTTCTAAAATCTGTAATGTGCGGCGACGGTTCAGCCATTGCAAGCGAAGTTCACCAGTGCCCTGGTTGCGTACAGGAACAGGTATACACTAGGAAAAGTCGACATCACTTCTGTAAACCACTAACTAAAATTCAAAAAAGTGTTGAAATCCCTTTTGGTGGACTTGAACTTACGTTCTCACCTTGTTCTATGGCTGCCGCTTGCGTCGAACCCTACGGTTGGTTTCTTAATCTGACACCGGACTACAAGTCTATCGCTAATAAATCTCGTAGACACACCAATGTGGATGAGAGCTCTATACGAGAAGATATTCGTCGCCTCCTTTCTGAGGGTGTGGTTGAGCATTCATTATCCCCCCCCCTGGCGGGCCCAAGTTTTGGTGGTAGCCAATGAAAACCACAAAAAGCGGATGGTTGTCGACTATAGCCAAACGGCCAAAAAATACACTTCTAGATGCCTACCCCTCCCCCAGAATAGACGAAATGATTGCTCATATTGCAAACTACGACACGCATAGCATTCTTGATCCCAAGAGCGCCTACCACCAGATACCCATCTGGGGAGAGGAAAGACCATACACTGCCTTCGAAGCTTGTGGGTGTTTGTGTCCATTTTGTCGTACCCCGTTTGGTGTGAGCAACGGGGTTGCGTGCTTCTAGCGGACCATCGATGACATAATTACGGGAAGATGGGTTGCCCGTTAGGCTAACTGCTGGCTACCCGACGTGTCCACAGGTGGTGGATAGTGAAACGGCCTTCGGTGGAGGTTAAGTGCGAAATAAGCAGGCCCAAGTCTAACGAAAAAGCAGTTGCGGACCAGTATCGAGTGCTACCAGTGTGGAGGGCTGCGGTTTGGCATGCTAAAAACCTTATAAAAACCGTCAAGTCCGATGACGGCATTGTGACATGGCGACCGTGAATTGCCATCAAACAAGTTTGCTTGCCACCGCTGCCTTGTGGTCAGTCTTCTAAGCCAAAGCGCTAGAGGAGACAACTTCGAACGAACAATCCGAGCGGCTGTTGGGGACCCGCCTGTACTCAAAATTCCCAAGAAACCTCATGAAATATGTCCGACTACAGTATTACGACCCATGCTACGGCGTCCACGGCAACTAACGCGCTCCGCAACTCTGGTCCAGTGGTGCGGGCGAATAGTATGCGAGCTGAACTACTCAATCGGGGACGGACTCTTCATATTTGATGCTGAAATATGTGAACGTTCCTGGACCCCGGTACCCAAAATCTGACCTTAATCAGTACAACGTGGATGTCTGCTGTCTGTCCGAAGTTCGACTTCCTGACACAGGCTCTCGAAAAATAAAGATCCCTGGGGCCGAATCACAATTCACCCTGTACCACATCGGCCCGCGTGACTCTTCTGGTAGACACGGTGTGGCGATTGCCCTCTCGCAAATAAGCGGACCTCGCGTTACTTGTTTGGAAACCAGCCAATGACCGGATGGCCTACGTGCGACTGAAAGGTCACTTCACGAACATCTCCCCCGTCTCTGTGAACGCATCAACTTCAGCTGCTGAACAGAGCGACAACGAGGCGTTTTACTCGCCGTTGCAAGCGTTAGTTGAACGACTCCCTCGCCGCGATCTGCTGATTGTCGCCGGATATTGGAATGGCCGGAAAGTTCACCTCATCCGCGCCAGAAATGCTATATCCTAGACGCCTCGATGTCGCCAAAAAATCCGGCGAACCAGCACTGTCGAGGCTCTGAGCAGAGAAATCCGGTTCTGTTTTACGATCCGAGCCGACGGAGAAGGCAGTCACCAATGGTCATCACTGAAAACGCCAGTCTATGGGGCAGCTGAGAAAATCCTTGGATATACCCAACGACGCCGCAGTGACTGGATCAGCGGAAGAACCCTACAGCTGTCTGCTCAGAGGGCTCGAGATAGGTCTCGTAATGATGATTCCTTCCGCCAACCTCGAAATATGACGGCAAAGTCGACCAGGGATGACCGGAGGCGATATTGGGCTGAAATAGCGACCTCAACGGAACAGGTCTCAAACGTTGGTGACACTCAAGAACTCTACCAACTTATCCACCAAGTTACTGAGTGACTCAGTGCGCGACGTAAATGGCGGCTTTACTGATGACAACTCGGTCAAAGTCGAGCGTTGGCGTGAGCACTTCAGGAACCACCTCAATTTCGATATCCAACTCACCACGCCGTCACTCTCTTCTGCAGCGGAGTTCCTTCCCTCTCCAAACTATGCAGTATCATGCGATCCCCCTCCTGAGAGAGAAGTCGCCTATGCCATACGAAAGCTACGCAATAACAAGGCATCCGGAGAGAACGGTATACCCGCTGGAATCTACAGGTCTTGTGCCGACACCCAGGCGCCCTGGTTCCATGAGGTGATGGAACAAGCGTGGATAGACGAGGTTGTTCCTGATGACTGGGGCTCAGGCATTCCAGTACCTATCCTCAAGGAGGGAGATAAGATGCGAGAACTACCGCGGCACAAGTCTTATTGACGTTGCTGCGAAGATCTTCGCTATTGTCCTACTCAGGCGATTCAATACTGTAGGGTAGGCTGATACCATACTAACAGACTGGGGTGATTCTAGGACGAGGCCCAATCAGACCTGATTTCGTGCTGGACGTGGATGCGCGGACCAGGCATTCACATTAAGGTGCATTCTCGAATTCCGCCATAGCTACCAGCAACCGGCGGCCGTCTGCTTTGTTGAATTTGCCGCCGCGTCCGACACCGTCCATCGTGAGTCCCTATGGTGGATAAAGGCATTAGATAGCGTACCACCAAAAGTCAACGCCATGATCAAGGCCTAGTATTGCCCCACCACTAAGCGAGTCCTGGTCCACAGCAATCTTTCCTAACCGTTTGGTATTCGGTCTGGCGTTCGACACGGTTGTGTCCTGTCGCTCATTCTGTTCAACTAAGCTATTGACTGGATTCTCGGGAGTGTTTTGCACGAAGGGGACAGTGCTGAGTTTGCACCCGGACACTTACTGACTGACCTCGACTATGCCGATGATATTGCCTTACTTGTCTTGAGTTTTGGTGATCTGCAGTCTATGGTGCCACAGGTGAACGTAGTCACTAATTCTGTCGGTTTATCCAAAATGTTGTCAAACTGCATCCCTGACCAGGAGAAGACACCTCTCGGCTTCTGGCATGAGCACTTCACCCACACACTACCACACTATCTGGTGTAGCAGAACGATAGGATCCAGCCCATTCAGGACTGGATTAGAGGCCAAGCAAGTTGAGCACTAGCCAGCCCTTCCATTAGGTTATGGTTAGGCGGCTTTTGGCCGACCTGAACTAGGAGGACGATGTGGCTTTCTCTTCTGACGTGCCAACTAGTCTGAAAATGCTGAGGCAATATGTAATCGTTAGCCGGGTTATCTGGCTACAACTCCGCTAGCGGTCAAAGGATTGTGCAGACATCGTCATCCGTCAGTTAGACAGTCGTGAATGACGATATCCACCGTGTCCCACGGCGTCGAGGACGCAGGATAAAGACTTGGGGGAGAACAACAGAAGTGTCGGGTTGAAGTGGTGCATTTGACACTGGTTCAAGTAGGCATCGCAGACAGCAGGTGGCGCACTCGACAATAAACCAAACAGAAAGAACGGATACTAAGAACGACTTTCCCGTTACTATCGACCCATCCAAACAAATATGCAGGCCTACCGAGCTGGCACGCAAATGAGATAACACTGTTTTATTAAATGACGAAGGCACGTCACACCAGGGCAGTTCGGGTTACCTCTACAAATGTTTCAGTCTGCGGTCCAGGTAGAAAAGCGGACCCAAGGGAAAATTAGTTACAAGGTCTTAGAAGGACCGACTTACTTCTTATATGGAATATGCTGACCTCAGTAGCAAAACTTAACTTGGTACAGCAGTGATCATGCCTTATCTAGCCAGCTCCGATGTCGCGAATGGCAAATCTCCTCGGACGCCTTGAGACAGCCTCACCGTGTTGTCGCAAGTGCTGACTGCCTCGTTCGAAACCAAGTCATTGTACTTCGCTCGAAGAATGGTGCTCAGGAGTGGTGGTCAAACGTCTCCAACATTCGCTTACCCTTCATGTGCTCAGCCCAAAATTCACAACCTTCTGGAACTGACCGGACGGATACCCGGTAAACACAGATCTTTGTAACGACGGTGTCGCGCAAGATCCACAGATACCTGCCAAGAACTCCGAAAACCCCGCGAACAGCATCAACTGAGGAGATCGCTTTGTCCTCACTCCTCCCATTCGGTAACAGCCTTGCCCGAGTAACTTGAAAGCATTTACTCCAAGTTGACAGCCACTAACCGCAAGGGGTGTCTTCTCTGGTCAGGGATGCAGCCCGAAAACACTGTTCTTTCCTGCATATGTGTATAAATCGACCGCTTCGGTGACCTCATTAAACCACGGCACTACAGTCTGCAAGTCATCAAAGCTTTACGCCAGCAGGGAGATATTGTGAGCGTAGTCAAAGCCGGTGTCAAGGTGCAGATAAAACACCACCAAAACCGTGTAGGACCCTCCAGAGAGTTCAGTCAACGGCGTAGTTTAATACGCTTGGCCGCAAAAGATCAGCGGACACTGGAAGTGTTTGGCAGCGAGGACCTACTAACCTTCCTAGGCTTCTTAGCCTCAGACAACAGTCTTACATAGGACGGTAGAAGGCGCTGATTACCGAGGTTTTTACACGAGCTTACTTTTTTCCTTTGGTTGCATCCAGCAAACCTAGGCGAAAACAAAAAGGCGAACTTGGCATGTTCGCGTTTGCGGAAGTGTCCAATCGACAGGTTGAGCAGGGGGAGGGGGGGAGAATCGCATACGACTGCCTCCCAGCCAGCCATGATTGCGAGACGAGATATGGGCAAATACTCTGTCATAGAACAAATAAATCAGAGATGGGCATTCTTGCTCCCTTTGACGTTGCCAGAAAGGCTTTTGTCTGGTTAGAAAGTACTAGCATGCATCAGCTTGCTGCAAAAAAATTGGTGGACAATGTGCGACAGCGGGGAACGGCATGTGGGACATGTGGCGGTCACTCTTTCGGAGTCGGCTACCACACAAAAGCCTCCGACTGGCACATTATTAAACGGTAGAGATTCGTACATCTCCCCTAGACGCTCCCCATTAAAGGTCTGTCGTTTGTGTTCCACGTGTGCAATCGGCGTGGCCATTAATTTTGCGGCGAGCCTTGGCGGTTCGGTTCGTCCACCAGTCATAGCCGCTCATGCTGAGCGTCTGGCGCCAAAGCCAGCATGAGCATTGCTGACTTGCCCAGACGCACTGGTCGCCAGCCCGGTTCACGGAACGTGTTTCGCGCAGTTTACCCAACTTATCCTTCCGTTCTATGCACAATGCAATTACCCGAGCAGGATCTAATTTCTCACCATGAGGGCTTGGGCTAAGTCAGCGGGCAATACATATTTAGTAGCTTGGGCTATTACGATAGACAGGTAGATGGATGCTACCAAGAGTGCCACAGTCAATATATGAAAACAGCACAAGAGCAAAGCAACACGACTTCTAACAAACTGGCTCAAGGATGCATGCATGCAAGCGATTAAGACCCATGAGCATCAATTACAAGGCCTCTCATATTGGCACCTTGATCATAAATAAGTTAAAATGAAGGAACGAATGGCCGCTAAAAAAAATAACGTTTGAAGTCGGATTTTGGGCATATACACGTATCACGGGAGAGGCCGGATGAGATGGACCGATATATATGCAGTACGCTGACTTAAGTGAAAATGAGCATTTATTGTGAGGAATTAAATGGTAGATAAAATGCTACTTAGATGACGGTGCACCGGCATGCGTCTTGACGACCAAATCTCATTAGATCATAAACTGGCGTTGCTCAGAACTTAGAAGCAGCCACTGCACATTCCTCAAAATAAGGCATTTGCAGTGTTGTAAAAGTTTTAAGGGGGAAATTATAAACGTAGAATATATCCCAGGGCCGCTGAGTAAGATTGTTGGAACAAGTGGACAATTTTGCTTACCTATCGGCATTACTACCGTAACACGCATGTTAATTCAGGGGCCGAATGAAAAAAATTCCCAGGGAAACAAGTCTGAAACACGCAATTTGCCGACATGTCGAATCGAAAGTAGAAAACGAAGCCGAAACAGAAGTAAGCAATAAAACTACTCACAGTCATTTCGCGGGTGCCGATTAAGTTCGCTTGCAGCGACGTAAAACAAACACGAGTGCAGTAACTACATCGTTTTTTAACTAGACGCTAGTATAGCACAGGGAGTCCAAAATTATAGAAACAGCTTAAGACAAAGTCAAATAAAAGATAAGCTGCGACACGCCCAAGCCTGGCCTTCAGGGAGTAGAAAGTTAAATGTCAAATCCCCAAAGTTCGCCCAGTGTGTAGGATAATGGTGGATCTCAGAGTCGGAGTTCGAGCATGCAAAGGTCTTCGTAGTTTAATATCTTTTGTTTAAGAAACAGCTGGGTGTAAAACGAAAATTAGGTATTTAGACACATAACAGAAGCCTGGAAAAGCAAGAGTTGATGGAGGAGTTCTATGCAGTGCTGAGCACAGCTCAAATGAATAAAAAAGGTTCGGTAGGGTGAACAGAAACGCGAAACTGGAAATCAGAAGGCACAGCCTTGCCTTCCTTCAGAAGCGGCCCCATAGATGCCATGAAGTCCAATGAATCACAAAGCAACCAACAAACGGGAAAAACAATTCCGGGTCTCTCTAAAACACAAGAACTATATTGTCCTGAATTGGTTCAGTCGCTTTACTCGTTCGTGGCCACCATTACTGATGATTAAGCATATCTAGAGGACCATCTGTTTTTCAAAGCAGATGATTTGCGTGATTCGAATCCATATTATTCGCCTTGTAGCGGCTCCAGCACCTTAGTCAACGTGCCGGCACATCTGGGACAAAAGCCACTTACCACTTATCTCTTGGTATAATTCTGGACTCGTTGCCAATTTTCAGCTATTTGGTGGACCACTCTTCGGCCATGAGGGGGTTTCGTTCGGTTTGTCGTGAGATGAAGTAAGTGGGAAGTAGCTGACGGATAGAGTCCTTCAATCCCCTGCTACAACTGTCAGGGACGATGTGAATTCGACGGGGGCGTTGTATTCGCCCAAATTTGTTTATAACAAGCATGTCATTTTGGATGTTTAAGTGGAAAGTTTAAACGTAATGAGAGGTGACATATTGATAATCTTCTAGCAAGATGTTGTCCTTAGAAACCCCGCTTTCGACCGCACCATAATTAATGCGACCGGGGGATTTTATGAAACGACCCAGCTGGACAAAAATCTGACCGCAGGCAATCGTATACGAACAATTAATTTCAGGATGAGCTATGTGGCAACAGCACGACATATGAACCCCAAGGAATTCAGCCAAACTAAACGAGCTAAGCTTGCTTTTCCATATATCGTAGAAGCAATTTAAAATACGGACGACAGAATGGGCCGTATGCAGACTGAAGTTATTGTGTAGTTCAATATCGAACGCCAAAATAATGGAGACGCAGACTAGACAGCCTTTCGCCTCTACATTGAAGCCTCTGGCAACGGGGCATATGACAGCCTCCAGTTCTAACTCCAATGCTCCATATTTCGTCAGCCAACCAGGTTTTCCAATGCCATAACGTGAGGTTTCTGCTCAGAGACTATTCGTTGAAGCAGATAAGTTCCTTAAAGATACTTGGTCAGTTAGTTTAGTAGCTTTCTAGACAGCGGCCACTAGTTCTCGCATTTGCTTCGAAATTTTATGTCCTTATACTCGTCAGGCGGTCAGTGTCACTTTGAAGATTGCATAGAAGTAGTGCATCGAAGACGTAAGGACTGTTTTGTAAAAGAAATCCTCGGCTGACTTGAATAATGTGTCAACTTTTTATTTTGAGATTCGTTTTACAGTTGTGCTCTTACTCTTTCAGTTTCCTCATCAGGTATCGCATTTCCGCTTTTTTCGCTTCGCAATCCTGCTTAAACTTTGGACTTACACCTCGAAGAAAAGACATTCTTTGTAGCAGGGTCTGCTTAGCGCTTCGGTTTCTATGATAATTGTTGATCGTCTTGGTCGCTAATTCAAACTGTGCGTTGGCCTAACCTTCCCTATTCTATAGGCTTTTGAATTGTTTGACAATTCACCGCCGGTTAGCAAGGCTATAGCCTACCCTCGAAGAGTACCTTAGCCAAATTTCATTTTTACCCTCGGAAATGTTGACGTTGGTTCCGCGACTTCTTTTTTACCGCATTTTATGCGATTAAGCTGAGTGTCTACTGTGGTCGTATTATAAATCCCAACTTACCGAGGATAAGTTTCCATTTTGATCACTGCACTGCCCCCTGGCCTTGCAGTATCAAAACCCGTAAAAATTTGATCATCCTTATGGTAATAGCATTTTTAAGCTTTTTGCCGTGTTGCCCATTGCGAAATCCAATCTTCGTTCCGCTGAAGGTTTTCCCTTTTTGACTTGGTTTTCATACGCACGGTGTGCCGATATTTCGTTCATATTACCCAACTAAAAACACCCAGTGGCCTTTCACAGGCCTCCTGGCAGTCACCGTCCGCTGATTTATGTGCATGCTGGCGGTCTCAGTAGACTATGGGTTTGTGGACTGTACAGAGGTACATGAAGCTGCTGCACTTGCGCGAGTTCTTCAGTCCTTTTGTCCCAGCCCTGCAGTGTGCAACCTGTTCTAACGACTTTGTTTTTTGTCATTTATGTTTTCTTACGAAATTGTGCTTGGCAAGTCCCTACTTTCTTTGGGAGACGTGTTTTGCCTACTCAGTTATTCTCAAGGTTTTGTATAATGAGCGTGGGCTTAATTGGGTTGTGCTGCATAAGCACTGTCATTAGTTCAGGGTGGAGATCGAGGTTGCCTTCTTATCTTCTGACTCGTGTGTTAAGACCAACAGCCCTGTGGCTCAGTGTCTAGGGGCGCCGGACTTCTATCCAACAGTTCGCGGGATCGAGCCCCAGGTGTCATGCATCCCGGGGATGGGTATAGCTGGTTGATGACGACTAACAAGCCAGAAACGGCCACAACTTCCCGGCATCTGTCGTGGAAAAAAGCTGCAGAACCTCAACAAAGCAAAGTCGCCGGATTCGGGCAATATACCGGTCAAATTCTTGAACAATTTGGCAAACGAACTCTCTAGCTCATTAACGCAACGTTTCATTCGTCATTTGAATAAGGAAGGCTGTCAGTTGAATTGGAGGCATCAAATATCCACTCGATATATAAGGGTAGGACTCGAAATAACGCTAACAGATATCGACCCATTATTCTCACACGCATCTGCTGTAAAGTGATGGAAATCATATTAAGAAGGCAAAAACGAAGTTCCTGGAGGGGAACCACCTACTATTCGGGCTTCAGTACGGCTTCAGACAGAACCGCTCATGTATTTCCGGTTTATAACTCTCGACTCAGCCGTGAACTCATACACTGGACGAGGATAGTAGGGTCGATGTCACCCACGCGGACTTCGAGAACGAGTTCGACAGCGTCCCACAAAAACGCCTAATCCACAAACTCTCAGTCACTGGGATAAGAGGAGAGTTGCCTATACGAATCGCAGACTCTATTACATGGAGACCACAAACCGTGTGTGTTGATGTTTCGAAGTCAACTCCTGCCCCCGTTCTAAGCAGTGTCCCCAGGGCACAATCTTAGGGCCGTTGCCACTTCTAGTGTACATTAACGACTGCATCGACGACCTGGGATACAACAACGTCGTGTTTGCTGACGATGTTAAACTGTGGAGAGCCATCAGTTTTGACGCAGACAGACACGAGCTTCAAGAGAGTTTAAACCGGCTAAACAGTTGGTCAGCTCGTTGGCTCCTCGATTATAATATTGACAAAGTGTGCGGTCCTGAGACTCCGCACCAAGGGGACCGGTAAGGAGGACGACTCCTTCTAATACGTCATCAATGGACAGCCTCTTTCAAACGTTAATGACCAGGAGGACCTCGGCGTCATAATGACTTCCTACTTTAAACCATCGTTACAGTGTCAAAAGGCAGTCAGACGCGTGAGAGGGGTGTTATTTGAGGAGAGGCGAAGATTTGCGCAGATCGATAAGGAAATATTTGGAAAATCCTACGGGCCATTCGTTCGGCACCACTTAGGGCGTGTCGTCCAGGCCCGGCGACCGTGGTTCAAGAACGGTTATCAAAAGCTACAAAAGTACTGGTGACGACTACGAAGATGATCATGAATCTTCATCAAATGCCTTACGCAAACCGAAAGACTGAGCTAAATTTGTTCCCCCTCAATTGCAGGCAACCGCGTGGAGACCTCATTTGAACCTACCGGTTTTTCAGGGGCAATGCGTTTGTCTTAGAATTCTGTGACATTTTCGAATTGACTGGGACTGACCGTCTACGTTTTTATCCCTTGAAACTGCAGAAGAAGTTAACCCATAGAGACGTTCGACGGAGCGCCTTCTCGCAGAGGGATATTAAAGCGTGGAACGAAATCCCTGATGCTGCGGTTGATTCCGAAATTGCCGAATCTTTTAAATGCAGGCTAGACGCTCATTTACGGGGAGACTAATTTACATATAATAACGATTGTGTTAGTGGTGGCAGTTAGTGCGTGACTCACAAATGCCGATAGCATTCAAATTTCCAGAAATATCGATGTAATAACTGATTCAATTTCCTTTGTAAGATATGGATAGGGAGCTTAAGCGTGAAAGCCTTATTCCCTTAAGAAACTGACATAACCTAACTATATCCATTGAGCTGAACGTGCGCAAACTTATTTGAGCAATTCACGTTCGATTCTAAAGCAGGCAGTATAGGAAGGCAACTTTCTCTATGACTGATAATCTGGGTTTTGTCATTCACCGGTGAAAGCGACTGCAATGTTTTCGAGGGAACTCTCGAGCAGGAAATATTGAGCTGTTTACGTAAGCATGCTGGCCGATATGCCTAAAAGTATACATTGACTGTATGGCGGTCAGGTCATGGTCCAGTGCTCGGGTACGTCCGTTACTCGTTTTGCTGGCGAGGAGTCCGATGCCCAAATCTGTCTGTCGGCGAATATTGTTTCCTCCTGCAAAGTCTGATCATATAAGCGGACGTTTTCCATGCTTCTGGCAACTTTCTGCGACTTTGTTAATTTATAGACCTGCCCTGAGAATCTTTCGAGCATAAACGAATGG